GATGGGATACACCCATGGGTACTGAGATTTTTTTTTTCTTATTTAGGATCAGAGAATAAAAAGAACAATAATAATCTGTTATGCCTGGTGGATGCATATAAGAAGCTGCTGCAGTTAGTGCTGATATGTTAAAACAGTTTATTTTTTCTTGAGTGAGATTGCTTCCAATACAAGATCGGCTCACACCTTACATTTGTATCACTATGCATGGTGGTATATTTCTTAAAGGTAGTGTTGAACCAAAGAGCGAGGAGGAGATGTAGAAGTTAATAACTCAGATTAAAATTGGTATTTTTTTCCTAGCCTTACATTCAAGGTGCCCATTACTGTGTCATCTTACCTTCTCCATAGTGATGTTTTCCTGTTTGTAAAATGGGGCTGATATCAATTCAGTGTTCAGTATTGGAATCTCCTTGCACATCTGTATTGGAAAAACCATGGGTTGCTTGCCTTCCTAGCCTGAGGTCATATTTCCTATCTGGAGGACATTTGTTTTTTCTGCCTTGTACCTTTTTCCTATCCTCAAAACTCATAAGCATGTAACCTGGTTAATGCCAGCATTTGCTATATAAAGTTAAGATACGCAATGTGGTTGTTCTATGAAGATCATATTTAAATCCACATCTAATTTCCATCTTCAAAAGAATAAATGCTTTTTCATGTCTGAGATATTTAGTTAAACTCAAATTATAAAAAAATCTGATTGTTTTGGAAAAACTCATTGCATCACTCTGCAAATAGGTTAAATATTTCTTGACATAATGTGGGCACTGTCTCTCCTAGCCATTTTAAATTCTCCCTACCTGGGCTATACTAAGTCCAGATCACAAGTAATAACCTCACTTATGCTATCAAACCACAGATTTTATAGATCTTAATTGAAAGAATAATTTATAAGCTGTACATCTGAGGGGATGTGGTGTTGTCTGTGGCATGTCACATCTTTGTTATAGTGTTGATGGGGTTCCTCTGATTTTTCTGACTTGGACACCTTGCAAAACTAGTTTTATCAGATTTTGGCACTGTCGTCCACTTTCTTTTCTGTCCTAGAAGTATAAATACAGGACAAGGATGGAGAAGGCAACACTGGCATTGTTTGGAGAGGGCCTATATTTACATAAAGCTTGCTCAAAAATCTAAAAGATATAAAAAATCTGGTTTCTGCTATCCCAAGTAGAAGTTGTATTGAATTCTTTAGCAAACAAATAAATGCTTGCAAGGAAACAAAGCATGAAGAATATCCCCTTGCTATAGAATGGAAAAGGTTTACTTCTAAATCTGATGAGAACAGGCTAAAGAGAAAACTTTAGGTGCCAAGAGGTTATATTCAAATATGTATAAATTAATCTTTGTTTTACTTTTTCAAAATAGCTTAAAGTAATGTTTTGTTTGCTGAAGTTGTTACATGCTTTTTCTTTGCAGTTCTAAAACAACATCTGTGCTAGACAAACCAGAGGAAAGACATACGAAGGCAGCAATCTCACCAGTAAAGGTATGACTAGTATTGAACATGGCAGAACTTATCTTTTACACTTTGTGTGTTTCTTCACTTCAGTTCTAAAGATACGAAAGATCTGAGGAAGAAAGTAAGTTGCATACAAATAGTATTTTTTGGTTTTGTGAAGATAATGGAAGCCACTAATGGTTCATTGTTGAAGTGCTGTTAGGGCTACAGTCAGTGGGTGTCTGTGCTTGACATTATTTCCAACCTCTTCAACCACTGAAAAATTGTCCTGCTATGTTCCAATATCTCTAAAGTCATAGAATTAGAGATAAAATTGTTTAACTTGCAACAACTTGAAATTTTCAAATTTCTTTAGGTGGTTGCTTACCTCTGCTGGTGGTGACTTCACAAAGAACAAGATGAGACTATCACTAGCACATCTGACAGTTTCCTGGTTCACCTTGTTTAGGTTTTTTGTCACATATCCAATTTAAGAGGCATACTTTCAGACTCTTTGCTGTCAGTGTAGCAAGGCAATTGCTGCACTTTATTTTGTCAAGACTGTACTGATATAACCATTTGACTGCAATTATAGCGTTCGTTCCTTTTTTAGCAAAGGAGGAATCCATTTAATTCCACTGCATCAGGTGATAACTTGAACAGTGGGGAATCAGAAAACAGACCAGCCACTCTACCTCAGCTGTCAAAGAAGGGTAAATATACTTATTTAGCATATGACTGTGAATTTCTTGGAGGTTTTTATGGAAATCATTTTTACGTTCACTGTCTCTTTTTGTAAGACATCAAAATGTATTTTATCTTAACTACGTGAAGGTATCAACTACTTCATTTCAAACCCCGTGTAAAATGTGAATTTACTCAGGAAATGGCTGTTTAAATGAGTAAGTGGATTTTGATTCCTTTATTTTACTCACAGTTCTAGACAATATTAAGCAGTCCATCTGAGATGGCTGTTTGTCTTCAAATGCTGCTAAGAGCGCAGAGAAATTTCCTTGAATTTGGCATAGCATAACTCTCTTTATGACCTTCCAGTCATTGCTGCTATTGGCTCAACAGAAGAAGCCCAACTCCCTTTGCTCTTTATTTTTTCCCCTTTGTTTACTCAGTCCTGTTTATTTTCAAATCCTCCCTTTCCTGAGTGATGATATATCACAATACAGGCATTTGAAGTCATAATTCACTGGCTTGGATATGGAAATTCCTCTCCTGTCTGTTATGAAGCTTGCTAACAGGAGAAAGGAAGACTTGGACATTAGGAATAATAATTAAAAAATTCACCTCCCTACCGGAGAGCATTTCTGCATTTCACCTTGTTCCACATTAACATGGAAATAGCCTGTTTCCATTTCTGTAGGTTGCTGTTTATGTTCTGAGCCTGAAGAGATGTATGTGTATTCAAAAGCTGCCCTTCACTGCAAACTCTGTCACTTGCAGGAATAATGCTGATCAAAAATTTTATGTGTGGTCTATCTTTGGAATCATCAAATAGTTAATATTTCTGGAATAAGAAATAACTGCAAGATTTTCATCTGCTAAAACTTATTACATACAAAAGAAATCAACATCTATGTTGAATTGCTGCCTGTGTTTTACTGCAGAGATTTTTAATAAACCAATGTAAGATCTGCATTCTAGATCTGCACTGTCAGACTCCTCTGTTTATGCAGATGAATGTCATGTAAGCTCATGATTTCTCCTTATATGTTATACAGAAATATTGTCGCTCTCAGAAGAGAGCCACCCTAACCCAAACTTACAAACTGATGAAACGGAGAAATGTAAGAAGCCTTCTGTAGAATCCACTGATGAATCACAGAAAGGACTAGTTAAGCGTCCTATCCCAAAAGCTAGAAAATTAATTCACAAAGCAACAGATCCTGTGTCACAAAGAGAAGACCTTGCTCCAAACCCAGCCCAATGGACTGAAAGGATTAATGGCGTGGGTGCACCACCCAGGGGCATTCTGAAGCGCAGTTCAAGCTCCAGTTCCACTGACTCAGAAGTTCGTGTTAACCAGATGTTAGATGTTCAGAAGAAGAATGGCATTCCTACTGCAACTATTTTTGAAGGAGAAGCTGAGAAGAATTCTCTTACAGAAGAAATGGAAGACTCCACACAAATTGCACTGGAAAAGCTAAAACAAGTGAGATTCTCATCTAGCACGAGTAAAGGAGAACCTGTGCAAAGCCCACAGCTACACCATGGTGGAGAAACAGGAGAGTTTAATTTGTTAGAATCTGATGAAACAAAGAGTAGTGGAACTGATGCTATTAGATCAGAATCATTTGGGAATAAGCAAATTTCTGCTGCAAAGCTTTTGGGAAGCTATTCATCACCTTTACAAATAAAAAGAGTAGATGGCTTACAAGAAGATACATCAGCATCCAGCCCTCGTGACACTGATAGGTCAGTCTTTCTGGTTAATGAAACCTTGCAGACAAAGACAGTTACTCCAAAGAAACTTGAAGCTCCACAGAAGACCTCCAGCAGTATCCTGCTAAATAGTAATAACCAACTGGGTATTAATGAGACACATGAAAATAAATCCAGCCATGAATCAAAGTCACACAAAAACTTTAATGGTAAGAGTAATAGCTAATTACTAATAGGAGTGAAGAACAGAATGCAATAACATATAGTATGTATTCATTAATATTTGGATCATTTTTATTTAAGAATTAACAACTAGGAAACAGAAATAGTAAGAATGTGCTACATACTGCAGAACTAAGTTCTAAATCATTTTTTTGTCTTTTAATGGTCTAATGTAGTCAATATTTTTTAGATGTCTTCCACTGGTCTCAAGAATTAACAGTCAGATCAGAGCCTGGATAGGTACCTTTGTTGCAGACGATAACATTCAAGTGATGGCATTTGCATAAAATGCCTGTCGTGGGGCCTGGCAGATCCATCTGCACAGGAGCTGAAGAATTTTTGCTGTACTGCTGTCAGCTGTTCTTCATTGTGATCAAATTATGACTTGGGGGTTTACTCATGGGACTAAACACAAATATGCTGAGCTGTCTCCCTTCCACCTGATCCACCCTTCAGTGTAGCCTTTTCCTGTAGAATGGGAATAGCCAATCTGAACTGCCTGCATCTTCAAAAGTATTATGATCAGTCTTCCAGTAGGAAATCTCAGTGCAGAAATTTATTTTCTACTCTATTATCTGCAGTATGGTTCTCTCCAAAATCTCAAGGACAGAGAACCCTTTTTCTCTGCTGACTTTTAAAAACAAACAACTGAAAGATTTTTCAAAATAAATCAAGTATGTGTCTGATTCCTAACTGTAAGTCTGTTTACTTTTTAGACAAGTATCAGCGTTCTGCTAAGACAGAAGCACATGAGGTGTCAAATACCAATTCTACAAGTCTTCAACAAGGTAAGCCTGATCTTGTTGAGGAACGAGATGCTAAAACCACTTTCAAGCCTGACAAACTTACTGATGAACTCATGAAAGTGGACGATGAATCAGTATCAAAAGTTTTAGATTGGTTTAGAAGAAGTTCAGATACTGAAGATAGGAAACCTGTATCAGCCAGATCCCAAGGCAGGGAATCCAAAGAGGAAGAGGACATCTCATCCAGAACAGCAGTTCTTCCTATAAAACACAGTGGACCTAGTGTGGATGGAGAAACAGAAGTTAGAAAAGAGTTACCATTTGGAAAGATGAAACAGCAGAGTGGTATTTCACCTACATCATTTATTTCAGAAGATACACAGCTGATAAAAGAGACAAAACTTAAACTAGGGGAAGAGAATGAGGAGCAAAATGACAAATCACTAACTGAATCTGAATGTGCAAGAGTTGAAGAAAGTGAACGTAGTCAAGAAATCGTGCAACAAAATAAAAAATCAAATTTCTTGGAACATCAAGAACACAAGCTACCAGCTCAGAAATATGAATCGTCGAGGGCAACACAAGAAAAAAGAAGAATAAAGGAGATCAGAGCATTCTGGGAAAGGGATAAAACTGTCCCCAGTCACGGAGAGAAAGAAGTTAGTATCAATACTAATGCATCAGGTGCTGGTGTATTGAAGGGTCTTGGAGAAAGCAACAGAATAAAACCAACTGCAGTACACCTACCTAGGGGGTTGCATGATCAAAGCAAGAATATGTTAAGAAGTGCTGAACTAAGTTGTGCAAGCCAAGCTTCAAGAAGTAAACATCAAAACTCTTTTGAGCTTGGACCAGGCCATGCAGTCGGAAAAACGGAAAGAACAGTCGCATCTGATGGTGAAGTTCATGAATATACTGAACTGCCAAAAGCCAGTACCTTGCAGCCAAGGGTTGGTGCTAGTTCAGCTTTCCCACAAAGCAAAGAGAAAGATGAGAAAGAAGTACCTAAAGGAAAAACTGCTGCTTGTTCCCAACAGAAGCCCAGCTTCCAAATTTTGTCTTTAAAAGAAAAAATGAATGAGAAGTCCAGGAATCAAATTTCAGATCCTTCACAGTTCCAGAGTCTGAGAAACTTCTGGGATACTGGAGTTAAATTACAGAATAGCGTTGGTAAGGGAGATTTTTCCTTGCCAACTAATACTAGTTCAATAACCTATGAAAGAAAATCAAAGGAAGATTACATCAGAGATACCATGAGCAAGCATGAATTAATTCCACAGCAAATGCAAACATCTGAGAGAGAAAACCCACAGAAATTAAATTTAGTGGTGTGTGAAGTGCCTGTAGGATCACCTACCCTGAAAAGTCTGAGTGTTGCACACACAACAAATACAGGCTCTGTTCAGCTGGACAGAAAACCAGTTATCTCAAAACCCCAGGAAAAAATGAGACTTCCAGAGCAAGAAGTTGAAGAATATATAGAAAAAGGTATTGTTTCATCAAAAGAACATCATGTTTCCTTGCAGTTGTTCCGATCATCTGGTAATAAAGATGCTTTAAAGGAGATGTCAGCAGATGATTTGCTCTGTTTACCTATAGAAAAAGTGGAGAACAAGAATACTCCATTAGATGTCAATCTCCCTAAAGAGGAAGTTGCAGAGACTGTGGATAAGGTTGTTCTACCAAAAGCTGAGCCTGATGTATTCAGATTAGGCCTAAAGAATTTAGAAAAGGAAGGTTCTGAGATGTCATCTAGCTTAAACCTGAAAGAAAATATTTTGAAAGGCACAACTTTTCACTCAGATCAGTGCAGGGTCTTTGAAAGAACAGTAGAACAGAGCAATGACATTTCTCCTGCTTATCAAAAAGAAGAAATAAGCAAAAGCACAGGAAAAATGAATATGCCACTACTAGATAAGCATGAAAGTGAAAAAGGCCTCAGGAAACTATTCAAGGAATTTGAACCTCTCTGTCTGCGACATCAGGCAGCAGAGAAGGATGATACTCTTCAGGGTTCTCAGAGGCCTCAAGCTGGTTTCCAGAACCTGCTCAGAGAAACCTTTGCATCTCAACCTTATGAATATAAAAGTGTGGTAATGAAAACATCTGATGACATGAAAAGTATATCACAAACTAATTGTAACGTAGAATCAACATGCCAAGAAGACACGGGTCAGCCAGAAGAGGTCAGTGAGACCATAGAAAAGTCTATTGCCCTAGGCAAGGCCAGCAGCTTGAGTTCTGCTTTAGAGAAGCTGCTGGAGGAGGCCTCTGAAATGCCACCTCCCAAACCAAAATGTGCCAACAGTGCAGTACAGAGAACTGCTGAGATGGAAGCTAAAAGCAGGACCTGTGAGCATGATGGAGAGTTGCCACGGGAAATTGGTGAGACCATAGAAAAATCTGTTGCCCCATCCAAGGTCAGCAGCTTGAGTTCTGCATTAGAGAAGCTGCTGGAGGAGGCCTCTGAAGCACCACCTCTTAAACCAAAGCATGCTGACAGCACAGTACAGAGGACAGGTGAGATGGAAGTTAAAAACAGGACCTATGGGCATGGTGGAGAGTTGCTGCAGGAAATCAGTGAGAACATAGAACAATCTGTGCTGGCCAAGGCTGAACGTGAAGTATTTGATGTTAAATTGCAGAAGCTACTGAAAGAGGTCTCTGAAACACCAGCTTCTGTGCCGGAAAAGATAGATAAGAAAATGCAAGGTGAAATACAGGCTAGTCAAAATATATATGCTCCACATCAACGAGAGAGAGATCCTTCTCAAGAAGTACAAGAAACAATAGAGAAAACTTCTGTTTCAAATACCGCAAAATTCAGCAAATTCAGTTGCTCTTTAGAACAGCTTCTTCAAGAAGCATCTGAAGCTTCATCTCCAATATCCAAAGAGCTACAGAAACAAGAGAAGTGTGGGGATCATGCGTTTCCCTCACAAAAAGAGACTTTATTCATGACAATGCCACAGCCACATAATGCTTTAAGTATCTGTCATACCCAGATGAAGATAGCTGTCAAACGGGGAGCTCCCGGACCAAATATGAAGACTTCAGTAAATGATCTTGCAGTAAGTGAAACCGAAGGTTCTGATCTTCCCAAAAGAAATGGAGCTATTAATAAAATAAAAGAGAGAAACATGTCTCCAGTTGATCCTCCTGTCTTGGAAGGAGAGAATAATACGATTGCCAACAAGCCTTTCAAGATAAACGAAAAGGGAAGGAGAGACGAAAGCACATCCTTGGATGACTCTGAAAATAATTCAGAATTTAAAGCAGTGTTGAAATTCAGGAGAACAAGCACACCACTTAAAGAAGAGAGCAACTTCCCCTCACCAGAAGGAGCTCAACTCTGCCTAATGTCTCAGCATGAGGATAATAATGAAGAGGAAGGGGACAGCTCAAATTTGGGGCCCGAGTTTTCAGATGAAAACTCTGGGTCCCACTCTGGAACCGGGAGTTCAACTCGTGAGCTGTTTGATTTCTAAAATTCATGGTGCTGGGTTGTTAAACAAAGCTACTTTTTTTGGTTTTTTTTTTGGTAGTCAGCTTGAGATATGATAACCAAAAGTCTGTGTAATACTTATTTCTTAATTGAATGCTTTGGATTTTTGTTTGGGCAGGATAGGAAGAACTAATTAAGTCTAATTGGAAACTGTTTGACTGACAAACTACATTTCAAAACTCCACTTTGGAAAGGGAAGTTTAGCAGCATGAATAAATCACATCTGTCTTCATGATTTACCTTTTTCTTCCTCCCCTATGATATCTCCTTCAAATTAATAGCATTGTAACACTCAAAATCTGATATTCTTCTAAATGTCCTGGCTTAAAATAGGAAAAGAAAATATTAGTGGCTGCCTGGGTTCATTCCTTAGTTTGATCAGCTAGTCTTCAAAGGTAAATACTTATCAGTGGATATAAATATGAAACCAATACTCTGTGCTATTCCATTTAGCATTGCTGCCTGCTGCAGTACAAAGTGGCCATATAAATGAAGTGGTCTTTTTTACCAGGATTCTTATTAATTGGTTGAATGGCAGCTCTAGTCAATGTATAGAGCGTGATAGTCATTGAAGAGCTTAAGGTAGAGGGGAAAATTTAACATTTGTAATCTTTTCCCAAGAGTCTGGGAATGTTTTTCTCACTTGGAGAATCCAAGAAATATGTGAAGTTCCCAGGGCCTGCCAATTTACTTTTGAGCCTATATTGAAAGTGAGAATACAGCAGAAGTCAGTGAAAACTCAAAACAAATGAAACATAATTTGTTTTTACCTGTAAGTGCAGACAGCAACACTGTAAGGCCTGGTTGGTTGGCTAATGGGGAGGAAAGTGAGGTAGGGATGAGGAAGGATCTTAAAGGTTTTTGAAGGAGCTAGGTGAGTCTTGATTCTGCTCTTGGAGAGAACTCTTTAATTTCAGTGATCCAAATATCTCCACAGCTCTGTGGCTGGTTGGTTGGTTGTTTTTCCTGTGGTTGTTACTCAAATATCGAAACAAAATTTCTTTCACTGGGGAGAAAATAAAACAGACAAATTTACACAACGTAAAAACTAAAGCTATTAACATTTTTGTGTTGATTCATAGAAAGATAGATAGGAAATGGCTGAAGTCTGAGTTTATCCTATATTGTTCTTAGACAATAAAGTGCCATAGTTCCTCAAAACCCTCTTACTATTCAGTACAGACAGAGATAACTACACAAGGCAAATCAACCAACCTGCCTCTTTTTACTGATGGCTGAGAGAACTTAGAGAAAGCAAATAGACACTTAAATTTATTTTATTTTGTATTGACTTTGTATTTTCATAGAATGTTCACTTTCTTTGCCAATATCCAAAATAAATTCTCATGAGAAATCCATGGTTGGTTTTTCAGTGGCTTGCTGAACGTGGCAGGTCTGTGTGTGCAGTGTTCATGTGTTTTGTCTTGTAACAGGTTCAGAAGAAGAATTAAACCCTGTTTTGATGGCTTTGAAAAGGAGTGCAGATAGGAAAATGCCTTCCAAAAGTCTAGAGGACATTCCGTCAGCCACTTCAAGTGAGCACAAAGCTTGTGTGTGTCTCCCATGACCCCCAGTTTGGCTGCAATGTGTTCATGCTGGTCTTCCATACAGCTTTGCCGAGTAGAATTTTTGTCATTTGTTTCTCAATAAGCTGTATAGAGCTTGTTGAACTGAATTCTTTTCTCATACAGTTTAGTTTTCAGTTCTTTGTGTTAATTTTGAAATAACACTGGTCTATGAAGCAGACATCTTCCAAAAATGCACTGTGTTAATTGGTGATCAATTGTTTCTTGGATAGTCTTTCAACAGTGAAAGTATTGGCAACCACCCAAATTGGTAATGAGCAACAATGGCCATTGTCTCCTGGCTGCTTGCTTGGGTCAAATTAGTAGACAGTGGAGGTATGAAAAAAAAAAATTAAAAAATCTTTGTTTAGTAGTCTTTCATCTGTATATTCTAGCAGTTAATATACCAAACTCACTTTAAGAGAATGCAGTGAGACAAGATTGTACTTCAAATTTATTCCTGAAAGAACCTCTGTAGCCTCCTAGGATTATTATTATTTTAATTATTATTCCTGTCTCCCTTCACCCTCCCCCTGAGTGTTTTCCTGCTTGCCCCATGCCTAATGGGGAAGACAGAAGTTGAACTTAAGTTATACTTATTTGTGAACTGAAGGGTGGAGGTGTAGATTTTGAAAGATGTTGGCTCTTGTTGGCAAATAACTCTTCTAATACTACTTAATGCTATTGCTTGCTCCTGACTAGTTTCTAGGTTTCAGGTATGCACTAACACTGTTGCAACAGCACACTGATAGAAACTGCATCAACGTGAGACTGCTGCTTGAAGTAGCCTTTTAAGTAGAAAGCATCCCTTAAATTTAACCATTCCCACGGCTCTGCTGTTTTTTTTGTTGTTTTTTTTTTTTCTCCTCATTATTTTTAATTATCTGATTACCATTGCCACCCATTTTATCATACTGAACAGCAACACTTCTAATTTTGTGTTACTTTTTTCTTGCACAGATAAAGGAAAAAATAATAAACCAAAGGAAGAATTAGCTCTTAGTGCTGAAGATGGTAAATATCTTTTCTGTCTGCATGGCAGTTTATTGTTTTTAAACTGGCCTCTGTTCAGTAGTGAAGGATTTTTTTTAAACCAAGAATTGTATTGCACTTCTAGATTTGATCAACTTCAACATGGCTGATATGCTTTTGTAGAGTTCTGTTGGGTTGTTTTATTCTTAAGGAATGGACTTACCTCTATTTTCAGATGGAGACCTCTACTGAAAGCAGGTTTTACATTCAATAAGGAACATGTAGACACTTAACTGGAAAGGGTGGGGGCCCCTAGAGTTAAATTTATGAAGAGCAAAGTTTTGAAAAAATAACAGACAAATTGAGAGCTGTATAGACAGAATGAGGCAAGTTCTCTTGAAAATACTCTTTATCTTTTTCCTTTGCTTAGCTTGTACACTCATGTTACCTTTGTTATGATTCAGCTCCTCAAAGGAGGACACTGATGCAAAACACAGAAAAGTAAGGGGTCTGGGGAAGTCAAAAACTCCCCACATGTAAAATATAATGTTGCTGTTTATAACGTTGCAAAGCTGTTTGTGCTGCTGAGTGACTGTTGTCAATACTGCACTGAGCAGGTCCGAAACCTGGTCAGCATCAAGAGAGGAATGAAAATGCAGCAGGAAGTGAGTAATTAGGATTCTTCCAGCAGATAATGGAGAGACTTCTCCATGAGTATTTAAACTAATACATTAAAAATCCTTTTTTAACAACTAACAAGTTGAACTAGATACCTCCTCAATGGGGAAACTGCATCTAACTGTGTACTGACAACAACGGGTATGTTGAGCACTATTTGAACTTCAACAGCAAAAGCTTTGCAAAAGTTTTGCTCGTGCCTTGCAAACAATCCCATCATGCCTGCAGTGTTTCGTTTTATGCAATATATACAAGCCCCTGTAGCTGACTGTTGCCAAATAATTGTCATATGATATTATTCAGTATTTCACAATGGGATAAAAAGCTTTAGTGCATTATTAAATACAGGTGAGGTTGGAGTGTAGAAAATTCTGAGAATTATGAACTTACTGCTAACTGGATTTTTGCAAGATAGTTTGTGCAGTTAAGCTTTGTACAGTGAGGGAGCACAGAAGTGAACTTCAGTAGAGGTTTACAAAAGCTGAGGTGGGCTGCAAAAAAAGTGCACCGTTAATGACATATTCATCTTATCATTAACTAGGAGTACCTGAAACTTCCTTGTTCAGGTCTAAAAAAACTGCCTGATTTACACAGATGTTCCTACTGTAATTAGTCAGACTGAGTAAATAAGAACAGAGTGTGGCTTGTACACTAAGATCTTACTAAGAACTTTATGATGATTCTAATGTGGTGTGTTTAGTGCACTTCTAGGAAGAAAATTTGGGAGGTAAACTGAAAATATTTTCTTCTTCACATTTGATCAGAATTTGCTTGCAGCACCCAGGCTTGTCCATCATGTCCAGCAGTGTAAACATTTCTGCTCCTGCCAAACAGAGTTCTTTGGTCAGTGATATAAGAGATGTCCAAGTAGGTTATCCTTCCTAATGATAGTTTCTCTGAGTTCTGTAGGGGGGAAAAAAACCCACAACGACAAACCTTGCATCCAGGTTGTAAACTGGTTGTGCATGTGCATGTGTTTCACCTGAAGTCCTTTGTTTCTAACCACGTCCTGTCATGGGATCTCACTGTTTTGATGTATGAATGCATTTCTGAAGCCTTTTGAATTGCTGCTCTTCAGTTTCCGCAGTGCCTTCGCAGCCTGATAAGCTGTTCTCCAATCCTGAAAAACTCAAAGGACTGAGCAAGTCGGTACCATCATTCCTACAGGAGGAGGTAAGTTCCACCCCGGAAACACTGTAACCAAAGCTTCTGATCACTGTGGCATTTTCTGTGTGCCAAGTAGTGTTTTCCAGGATCTGCCAAGTCAGTTTACTACTGGACCATGGCATGGAGCTGCGTTTGTGCTGTAACAATCAGGAGATGATCCTAAACAATCTGTGGCTACTAAACCCTTCAGAAGCTTTAGTCCAGCAACTACAGGTTTATTCTTACTGTACAACTCACCACACAGAGCCTGTTTTATCTGGGAGATTAAAGCATAGTGGATGCTTGCTGTTATTGCCCAAAGGCAATCTCTAGCCTTAAACTAACTTCAGAACATACAGATGTACATACATTTATTTTCTTCAGAGCCTAAAATCTGAAATGAATGTGTACAACAATAGAAGACCATTTGGGAGGCCTGATATTCCCCAGGGGTCAATACTGGGTCCAGTCTTGTTCAGCATATTCATTGGTAACCTGGATGAGGGGAAGGAGTGTACCCTCAGGAAGTTTGCTGATGGTATAAAGAGTTGAGGAGCAGCTAACACACCAGAAGGCTGTACTGGTGTTCAGTGAGACCTGGACAGGCTGGGGAGTTGGGTGGGGGCAAACCTAATGAAGTTCAGCAAGGGCAGGTGTAAGGTCCTGCACCTGAGGAGGAATAACCAATAGGTTAGGGGTTGGCCTGCTGTAGAGCAGTTCTGTGGAGAAGGACCTGGGAGTTCTGGTAGACGGTGAGCTAACCATGAGCCAGTGGTGTGCTTTTGTGGACAAAAAGGCCAATGGTATCCTGGGGTGCATTAAGAATTCAACCTGATGGTTGAGGGAGGTTCCCTTCCTTCTCTACTCTGCTCTAGTGAGGCCACATCTGGAGTATTGTGTCCAGTTCTTGGCTCCTCAGTTCAAGAGAGACAAGGAACTCCTGGAGAGAGTCTAGTGGAGGCTATGAAGATGATGTGGGGACTGGATCATCTCTCTTACAAGGAAAGGCTGACAGACCTGGGGCTGTTTAGCCTGGAGAAGAGATGGCTGAGGGATCTTATCAATGCTCATAAATATCTAAAGGGTGGATGTCAAAAGGCTGGGGCCAGACTCTTTTCAGTGGTACTCAGTGACAGGACAAGGGGCAAAGGACACAAATTGGAACACAAGAAGTTCCACCTAAACATAAGGAGAAACTTTGTTTGTGTGAGGGTGATGGAGCCCTGGAACAGGCTGCCCAGAGAAGTTGTGGAGTCTCCTTCCATGGAGACTTTCAAAACCCACCTGTACATGTTCCTGTGCAACCTGCTCTGGGTGACCCTGCTTTAGCAAAGACATTGGATTAGATGAAATCCAGAGGTCCCTTGTAACCCCCACAATGCTGTGATTCTGTAAAAGTCACCATCTGGTAACACTACTCAGAGAGGTACTAGCTTGGTCTTCTGTTTAGGGTTGTATATTCAGGTAGCAGGCTGTTAATTCTGTGTAAGTAAAATGTCAGAACTTCCAACCACATACTGTGCCTGTAATAATAATAGACTGTAAGTCTAGTTGTTGTTATTATTATCAACATTTTCATGATGTAGGTCTTGGAATAAGCTCCGAGGCCATATTCAAATCTCCTAAAATGACACTGGAGTTTGAAAGTGATAAGCAATTTGAACTGCCTGGTCTGTGACTCTCCAAATAGTGAAGGGAGTAGAGACTGTGTTTAGACCAAGCATGAGCCTCCTACCATAAATGCCTCCAGGAGTCACCTCCCTCGGTCACAGGGATCAGGCAGCTCTGGAGAACAGGAAACGCCTCATTGCTGCTGAACTTGGATGACAACATAGTTTCTTTTTGGTTTTCTGTTTTGTTTTGTTTTTTTTTTTTTTTTTTTCAAGTGCCATAGTATGAATGTGAATTTGTATGGCAAATGTGCATGTAACTGCAGCATAAGCACTGATATTTTGGACTATTTTTCTAAAAACACATCTAAAAGGTCTGAAGGGTCAGAATCAGAAATAGGCTGTGCCCTATCTTACCTTACTTCCTCCTAAAGTCTCAAGTAACCAGAATATGACAATACAGGTTTGGTTAACCTTAGCTTAAGTGCAGAACTTAAAACCAGTGTCAGTGAATTACATCTCTTTAGTTAAAGATTCTCTAAAAATTACACCACCCTAATGCCCCTTCTGCTGAGAAGAATGCACAGAAAAGCTTTCTAAGTGTGTTAACGTTGCACCGTGGATACATCAAAAGATTAACATTTCAAAGCATTAGAGGAGGGATACCAAACAAGTCTGAAATTAATATCTGGGCATCTAAAGCAAACCAGTTACAGCCTCTGTAAGAAGCCAATTAAAAAATTTACACACAAAAAACTTACTGTTTTGAATGAAACACTTTGACAAATACTTGAAGGCCTAAGTACTATATGTAGTGAGTCTGGTCACAGTAGAAAGGGTTTGGGGATAGCTTATATTGATATTCGAAGTTGTCAGCACGCAAATCTGTTTATTCTGCCCCCCAGATTTGGTTTTAAAATTGTGATTAGTCCCAATACTGTCTTGAGCTATCAAGCTCACAGCACAGGATGTATTGAAAGACATATTTATGCATGCACACACACACGTGTGTGTGTGTGTCTGTGCATGTTTTTATATATGTATATACGCACAAAACCAGAGTGTATATCTATAAAAACAGTTGTACATATATTGTGTGCTGGTTCTGCCTTGGAGTTTATCATCACTGAAGTACCATCTGGCCAATATGAAGCATGAAACTAATGAACGGATAACATAAATTGGGTAGGAATAACAGCTTAGAAATAAGCATTGTAGATACCACGTAGTCACAATAGAATGACCACTTATTTTGATGTGCTAGTTCAGTTCTGGAGTTATTTTAAAAAGAATTCTGATACATCCTTTCTAATTAAAGAAGAAACACAAACCTATCTCTTAGAGTAACAGTGTCTTTTCCTTCTGCTTAAAAGAGGCAACAGCCTAAAGATTCCAGGGTTATCTACTTGTGAATGTTAACAATATCCTCATTTAACATTTATAATTAACTTAAAAATAATTAAAATCACAGTTGTAAAGTATTCTGGAGGCATGCAGTCACCTCAGTGCTTAATGATTCCTTGCTTCTGCACTTCCACAGACATTGCACAAGACTCCACAAGAAGATCTTTTACTGCTCCCAGCAGAGAGCAGGCTTTGAGTAAATTAAGGCTAGGGATGAAAGTATGCAGAAGTGGGTTCAGTCCTGTATCACTTCTGTTCACCCACTGTGTGGACAGCAGCTGAAGTGATCTTAGGGAAGCCACACATCCTTCTTCTCTGAGAAGGCTTAGGATTTTCCTCTATTTCAGAGTCCATATAATATTGGAACTGGGTGATCCTTGTGGTCCCTTCCAACCCTGACAGATTCTGATCTGTTTTAGCAGAGGACTTTAGAGCCCTAATGGCTCAATGGTTGGACTTGATGATCTTGAAGGTCCCTTCCAACCTAAAGGATTCTATGATTCTATGATTTATCTGCACTGCCCAACTATTACTTCACTCCCTGGATTTATTTTGGACAGTCCCAAATAGAGCTCTCCAGAACAATTTTTCTTTCAAGGAGCCTTTTCCCATATAGGATGGGCATTAGTCGGTCCTTACATTTGGCCTCTGAACTGAGGAAAAAACCTGGCCTGCTGTTACTTAGCAGTATAAACTCAGACAGAGAAACTACAGTCGATGGATCTTTACAAAGACTATTCAAAATGTTTATATGCTAGATATTTATTTCTATAAATATTCATTTTCTTAATGTGTGTAGAAATTGTTTGCGAATCTTGCATCTTAGTTAGATCAGTGACAGCAGTTCAAAGCTGTATAAAGGCGAGGGGAAGCCTTGTAAATTGTTCATGGGTTCATGAGCCTTCTCCCTGTTCAACACGAGAGAGCTGGTGCTTGCTGTAGCAGCTTGCACGGGAGGATGCCAAGGCAGACGTGGGAGGTAAAGCCAGTGATTCTGGCTTGGAGACAGAAGAGGGTTGTGAGCACATCGCCTGGTGACGACCAGGGACACCGAAACTGCAGCGCTCTGCTGGAAAAGCAGGGCCCTGCTCGCCCTCCTGCAAGGAAGGCTTTTTGCAGAAGCCACTTACTGTACCCAGTGCTGCTCTGCCTTCCAGCCAGTGGCCCTCAAGATAGAGGGTACAGAAGGGACACTGTTTGCTGTGTGACAGAAAGGGACTGGTAAGAGACTTGGGCATTGTCACTTGCATAAGTTTATGCCTGAGACAGTGAAGTGCAGAAGTTAAATTTAATTGTCCCAATAAAGTTAACCTTGTACTTTCTCATTGCTATTTGAGATTTAAAACCAAAGGCCAAACGTGGTTGTGTTACTGATTTTAAAAAATGTTCAGTGTAGACTTTCCATCAGAAAAATTCCCTTTCAACTTTGAAGTGAATGACCTAATTAAAGAAACATTAATTATTCATGTTGCACTACAAGGGGATTTAAATTCAGCTTTTCACTGAGTCAATCTGCATTAAATTTCTGAGTGTGGTTTGTTTTTGGTTTTTTTTTTTTTTTTTTAAATGTTCCTTGTGGTTATAGAGGACCTACACAGACTTTCTTTCTGTGATGTTTTTGTAGAGTGATGACAGAGAGACAGATACAGCATCAGAAAGCAGTCATTCCTTTGGCAGAATCAAGAAGAGTCCCAGCTCTCTAACCAATCTTAGTGGCTCTTCTGGCATGGCCTCCTTGTCCTCTGTATGTAAACCAAAGCCTTGTTTTAATGGCATTTTGCTTTTGCTAATCTCTTCAGGGTTGTCTCGGCTCCCTTCTTATTCCTCTCACCTTTCTTCCATTGGCATCTGTCTCCTTCCTTCCCTCTCTCTTATGTGAACCCTTGCATGAAATTGCCTGAACCAAATAAAATTAGTTTTACTTTTTTTCATTTTCTAGTGATGTATTAGAACTTGTTCAGGACTCCACTGTGCAGCATACTCTCTAAAAGAGATGGCTTTTACCTAGGAGCTTACATTTGTAGCTGGAAGTGATAGGGACAATTTATACAGAAACAACACTTAGAAAGGAGAAATGGAGGACACATAAGTGGAAGCAAGAGACATTATGTGTGTGCTGTGTAATTAAGCCGGTGAGCTAGGTAACCAAAAGTCAGTAATTTATGTGGACTTTATGGGGAAAAGTAGCACTTTGGGGAAGGACATTGAGATTAAAAAAAGATTGCACATCCTTCTCTTTCTACATACAGAGTGTTTAATTTTCAGTGTTTAATTTAGGTATGTAATTCAGCCATATAGTCTTTATCACCAGTCTTTGTCAGTATTTTCAGAAGGCCTGCTGTCCTAAACTTTTTAGGCTCTGCTTTCTGCAAAGAAGATCAGCTGAAGAGATATCTAAGCTATGTTTCAAGGATCTGATCACAGGCAATCTCCAGATCTACAGCATCCTATCATTTTATCTCTTCTATTTCAATGTAATAGACACATTCATCTTCTCTTTTTTTTTTTTTTTTTCTGTACAAAACTTGACCTAACACCTTTGATTTACAAGTAACTTCCTTTTGTTAATCTGCTTGCTGAGAAGCTTGTATAGTAGTGTCCATTATGTTTCATTATTACATCTGAAGGGACACAGTAGATTTTTTTATTGTCTGAATTCTGAGCGTAACTTCTACTCTAAGTATCCAGTTTAAGTATCCAGTTAAATGCAATGCCTGGAAAATTTTTCTCCTCTTGTGCGGTACAGGTGAGCGGAAGTTTAATGAGCATCTACAGTGCAGACTTTGGCAATGTCGATGTGAAGGGGAACATTCAGTTTGCTATTGACTATGTAGAAGAGCTGAAGGAGCTCCACATTTTTATTTGCCAGTGCAAAGACTTGGCAGTGGCAGATGTAAAGCGACAGCGTTCAGACCCGTAAGTACAGAGAACGTATTTATTTCCTAAGGGAAAAGTGTCTTTTAGTGTGAAAATGAAATCTAATGTTTTTTTCCCAAGCCCTATAACCTGTTAGAGTAAAGAAGCAAATAAATTAATGAAGAGGCTATAACATGCTTTATGTGGTTTCCACTCTGAGCTAAATATAGAATTCCCACTATAAATTAGTACTTATTTTAACATGGGAAACTCAAACTTTTAAGAATATAAAATTATCTTTTAAAATTCAGCTTTCCAGATTGCAAATGGATAAGTTTTTAGTAGGATTAGAACTTAAAATATGTGATAGCTAGACATACTATAATTAAATATTAAGTTTTTATATGTGTTGAGGAGACATTTCAGCAGATTTCTCCCTGGTAGGAGGAGGTTAAAGTCCCACTTTGGAAACTATAATTCACCACTGCTGCTCCATTTCATAAATGTGACAAGCTGAACAATGTAAGGGCCAATTAAATGGCTTTCTTTCACTTTATAAAGAAATGCTTGTGTATTTGGAAGGGGAAGTTGGAAAGGGTGGGGTTTTTGCTTTTCTAATGAGCCTGTCTAAATTTTAGGTATGTAAAGACCTACCTGCTTCCGGAGAAATACAGGCTGGGCAAAAGGAAGACCTCTGTCAAAAAGAAAACTTTTAATCCAGTCTATAATGAAATACTACGGGTATTTATCAAACTATTATTAGATAAAAAATACTGCATGCATGAAGTATGAGGAACCGTAACTTTTAAGCACAGGTCTGGATGCTTTCAAAAGAGCAGTCGGGATGAGCTGAACTGCTCTGCAGAAGCACCTGTGTCCTTCCATTGGTAGCTTGACTCTACAGCACTTTTTGGATACAGCATTGGGAACACTGATGGTTCTTCTTACAAACACACACAAGCTAAGTATAAGCTTAAGATGCTTGAAATAAAAAGTAGAACATGAAGAGAGTTTTGTTCTGATATTGGATTATAAACCCAGACACATTGACACATTTCTTTTCTAATCTTGTGGCTTTCAGACACAGCACTGATAAAAATCCAGCTTATTTTCATTGCTTTTTTTTCTTCTCATTTCTTCTTCCTGGCAGTATAAAATTGAGAAGAGTCTCCTAAAGAGCCAAAGCCTTAATATCTCTGTCTGGCATAATGACACCTTTGGAAGGAATAGCTTCCTTGGTGAAGTGGAGCTGGATTTGGGAACTTGGGACTGGAATGATAAATCCAACAAGCAGATCAACTGGTTTCCACTCAAGCCAAGGGTAGGTTGCTAGGAGTGGGTTAGCTGGTTTGTATTTTCCACTGTCTAAGTGCAAAACCAAGTCATTACTTAGGCCTGGTCTTATGTGTTCTGTGGTTTTTATGTTGGTTATAATTATAAAAATCTCTTCACTGGTACATGGAACATACAGTTCTGAGGTTTCTGTTAGTCTAGTAGATAGCAGCTATTATAGTAGGAGAAACTTCCTCATTGTCTAAGGAGTAGGAATTTCAAGGTATTTTTCACTTGCCTCAGGTTGCTGCAACAGATATCCAGGGAACAAGTTCCTTCAGCTATGAAGTAAACTTCTTGAGAATATGGAACAAATGCAGCAACATTTTAATATAACAATGATTCTGTGTCTGTATGCCTCTTATTTGTTAATGGGTTCCAGCCAAAATCTAAGCTTTTAGCTAAGCCACTGCCAGAGGTTCTGGTTTATTCTGGTTTTATCTCCACACACACCCCACCCCATCCCCTGCTTCTATTTACTTTGTATGTTCATTCCTCAAACCAAAGCTTAATAATTTGTAGAACAAAAGAGGAACATCATGGTAGTCCTTAGCACTAGTTTAATTCGACTGATTTTGAAACTGTTGTAGGCAGATACATGGAACCAAATATTAACAGGAACCATGCTCCATCTACAGATGGTCCATGACTCTTTGAAGAAATGACATACTGTTCTGCCTTTTTGAGAGATAACTCTTGCTGAGGTTGGTTTTTAGATTGCATTAAATGAGACACAACATTCTTACAGAAATGAATTTATGAAAGTGCAATTCCTGTTGCACAAAGAGTAAGTTTCCTGATTGAAAGCGTGTATGTTCTAGTTTTAAATAAGGGCCTAACAGTGGAAAAGATGCGCCCTCAAACGTTTTGGCCTCTCCTGGGTCTGGTTTTCTGCTTTAGTGGAAGACCTATGTATCTGAGGCACTGTCAAGTGGTTAAACGTGCCCCAAAATCCCTCATGTCCTTCAAACTGAGGGAAGACTAACAGATAAGGAAACAAGGGGGGGGGGGAAAAAAAGGTCTCGTGTAGAAGTCAAGCTTGTTCCAGTGGAAAATTTTGCATGGTAAGCTGTGTATGAACTGCAAGGTTTGAGATTTGTGGTTTGTTTTGTTTTTCTTAAATTTCAGACTTCAGCAATGGCTCTTAACCTAGAAAACAGAGGGGAGATGAGACTAGCCCTCCAGTATGTCCCCCACCCTGCTGGAGGTATGCATTGCTGCTTCGTTTGGCTTTGTCAGGCCTGGGGTTTTTTGTTTTTGTTTGGTGTTTTTTTTTGTGGATATTTTTTGTGTTGTTTTGTTTTTTTTTTAAGTCATTCTGGTTATGAACTTGGTTTAGGATCCAAAGATCACTTTAGGATCTTTTGGTTTTGATGTAACTACAGAAGAAATTACCTCATTGTTATAATTCTAGATTTGTAATGCAGTCTGTATGTGTAACAAAAAGTTTGATTTCTCATTATAATTTCAGAAATTATAAATCATCAGGCAGGAACTGGGATTTACTAAATAAACAATGGCAACACGCTAAATTCAAACAATTTTAGAAGTAGAAAATAGAAATAAGTATTTAAAATGCAGCAATTTATAGCAGTACAATCTGTTTGGTTCAGTCTTCCCTGGCAACTGATGACTGGCTGATCTAACAGTGAAGCCAGGTCGAGTCTCCAATCCAGCCAGTCACTCAACAGGAATCAAAGGAGCACAAAAGGAGTTTATTTGAAAGTGCAAGTGGCAATAAAGGCTGACTTCACAGAGACTGAAGACAGGCTGATCACTTTATCTAGGAGGCTTGGAAAAAGACCAGTGATATGTATTTGTTTAGTTGTAACAAAAAAAGTCATTGTAGGAGTACAGACATGATGTGATCTTGCAGTACTTTGATGGGTGAAGATTGCAGCTTCAAAGATAGAGTAATGCTGAATTAAGATATGACATAATGAGAGATAAGGACAGACAGCACCTCTACAAACTGTCAGGAGCTGCTGTATCATAGAAATTACCTTTAAAAGGGATCTACAAAGGTTAATCAGATGTTCTATTTTTACAGGAAAGAAGACTCTGTCTACTGGTGAGGTCCACATCTGGGTGAAGGAATGTCGTGACCTTCCTCTTCTGAGAGGCAACAGGCTCAACTCTTTTATTAAGTGGTAGGAACTGTTGTTGAAGTCATCAAACACGGGGGCCTCAGAATGCTACTGTTTTGCTTTCCAATCTTATCTTCTTTTTTCTACATTCAAATTAAAAAACACCTAATTACTTTTAGCTTAGCAGCTTGTGGGAGGAAACAGGAGTGAGAAGAGTAGTTATATTTCTTCCTCCTTCCTTTCCACATGCAGACTAAAAATGTGAAGAGACAAGATTAACAAGATGGTTGGGAAATCTCTGGCAGCAACAAAAAGGTTTCAGTGTCATTAGTGATAACACAGCAAATAACCTCATCTGTGCCTCCTCCCCACCTGACTTCCCCTTCCCTTTCACCCTTTGAAGCACAAGGGTGGATACATGCTGCTGGTATTCCTTGGAAGGGACTGGGGACTGGGAATATGATCTCTGGCTGCATTTCCATGATGCTAAAGTGTCATCTTCAGTCACATCCTAACATGCACAAGACAGTGTTAATCAGCAGGTTTGGGCAGTTCAGAATGTTTAATGCAGGCTGTGTTGTGCCAGTGCAAACTGACAATGCTTTTTCTCTCTGAAGTACCATTCTTCCAGATACTAGCAGAAAAAGTCGCCAGAAAACAAGAACAGTGTCAAAAACTACAAACCCAGTATTCAACCACACCATGGTCTATGATGGCTTTAGACCAGAAGATTTGAAAGAAGCCTGTGTAGAACTCACAGTTTGGGATCACAACAAACTTGCCAACCACTTTCTGGGGGGTCTCAGGATAGGCCTTGGAACAGGTACTGGGCAATTAACACCTTAATCCTTAATTTACAAAATACAGCCCTTCTTTTTCGCTCTTCATTTCTGTTACTGTTCTTCTGCAAAGAACACCCTTTCAGTTATTTATTTACTGAGGAGTTTCACTCAGTAACTTAACTATTCTTCTGCAGATCCTAAATATAAATAATATTAGTTTTATGAGCATTAGGGTGACTGACAAGTAAGGAGAAATATTAGAAGTAAAACTTTGTCTGGCTATACATTCTATCTACTAGTGTTTGAAGTAGAAGAATATGCTATTCCTGCTTCCAAAATTGTGATAACATTCTACATACTCACACATGCAAAAACTAGGTATGTGGTGTAACAACAATACTGGGTGGAGATATAAGGATAGATCAGGAATGCAAGACAAGATCTGAAGATGCTGGATAGGAAAATGTACAAATGCAAACAGGATTTTCACATAAGGGCAGTATAAGATGTGCAGACAGAAGATTTGTATGTTTTCCTTGTCCCTTGTCCCCTTCGTTGTCCTCTCTGGTCTGAGAGGAGAATGCCTTTGGAGTCTTTTCAAGCAAATACAAGAAAAAAATTACTTTTCTTTACCAGAATAACCTAACATACACATCAGAATAATAAATCTCAATTTTAGAGTACCCGGGGTTGTATTTCAGCATAAAATAAGCATCCTGTGTTATTCTTAAACTCTCTCAGATGTTAATCACCCATATGTCTTTCTCCTTGGGATTGTGACAGCAAGACTAAGGATAACAAGGAAAAAAAAGGCCTGGAGAAAAACTGTGAAGTTTCCATTTGAAACTGTCATTAATTTTATGTGACAGAATTGCTCGAGTGTAAAAATGTAGGACTAGATCTTCAAGGTACAAGGTCAGCTACCTGAGGAGGTGAAACCATTTCAGAAGACAGGCAAATTTGATTGTCTGCTCTCAACTCTGCAGCATATTGAATATTGTTTCTCTTAAAACTGACATTTTTCTAGGCAAAAGTTATGGAACTACAGTAGACTGGATGGATTCTACTTCAGATGAAACTGCCCTCTGGGAGAAGATGATGAACTCCCCGAACACATGGGTAGAAGACACACTACCTCTCAGGATGCTAATGGTGGCAAAATTGACAAAATAAAGTGGTTTCAGACTGCTAGTGCCAAAAAGAAACCCTGGGAATGAAATTAAAGGTGTGGGGATGAAACTCGGAAGAGGAAGAGAGACACTGTTCTGACAGTTGCTGTTCTGGTTTTGTGATGTCAGATGTCACTTAGTGCTTCAAATTAAACTTCTGCCTGCAAATTCTGATGTAAATTTAAGGGATCGTCTCACTATTTATGCACTGAAAATGACTTCAGGAAAGAAGGCACTTACAGAATTCAGTGGTAGAGATAACTGTGATACCTGGATGCTTGTGTTGCCCAACAGAAGTGTTGATCCCTTAAATAAATAATCTAAATTACCAGCAAAACCAATAAGAACAAGTCAGTTTTTTCTGTACACTTCTAGAATTGTTCATGAAGCATTATTGGTAAAACAGCAACAGGTTGCATTTTGGTCACGCTCATCAGACTATGTTGTCACCCTCGTTATGCCATCTCAGTCTCTCCAGAGAGGAATCATGAAGAATTTAATTTAATTTTATTTTTTTAAGTTCCTTTAGTTGGAGTTGTACACTTCTGGGATATGAAAGAAGCATTACATGAAGTGGTACTGTCGATGTCCTGTTCTGCAAGGGCCAGAGGACTGTTATTTAAAAAATCAGAGTTATAAAAAGTTTGCATATGTATGCATTAATCACTTGCTAGTATAAAATCCTTATTTTTAAATGCTGAAGGCATAGAGGTGAAACTTTTTTTTTTTTAATTCAAGTGCTACTATAAAGGCTCTAAACCTGCCAGTTTTGGTGATGACAAGAAGTATGTTGGGTATTTATTCTGTAAAGTGTACTCGGCCGTATCTCTATCTTTTATCTCGGCTTTTGCAAAAAGTTAATTTATCTGTGCTTCAGCGCCACCGTTGGGAGAACGCTGGGAGTGCGGGGCCCGCACTGGGAGAGCTTTGCAGCACAGGAAATAGGGCTGGAACTTGTAACTCGTAGAAACGCATGCTCCTAAGGAAAGACAAATGCATAAAATAGAAAATGTATACTATTTTTTAATAAAAAGCAGCTTATTAAAGCTAAGTAGGAATTAAATGTTTATTAAACCCCCGTGGTTAATGTTGGCAATCCAGCGTGCAATGTAACAAAATGCAGACAGAAAACATTTCTGGAAATAAATGCACATTTATTTGTTCCAACTGTGTAGGTGTAAAAACTGTTTAAATCTTGCTCCTCAGAGTAGAGAGGAGAAAGGAGCTCTTCACAGCTCCAACTCCATTGCTTAATTTAATAATAGGAATTTAAATGCTACTTGGTATTTATTATACACTAGGAGTGGAAAAAAGGTGTGTTTCAAGCTGCTGGGGAGCCCACATCAGCCAGGCAGCCTGTGGAGCTCACAAATGCCAAAAGTAGTTGCCAGTCTTGCTCTCTTACCGCTTCAGGTGCCGTGGGTGAGAGTGAAGCTGCCACTGATCCTACTCGGCCAGATGGCTGCAAAACATTCCTGTATGGCCAGGGAACAACCTGCGTACTGCAGGGGTGATTCTGGAAGAGCAGAAAGGCACCTGGTTTATTTGTAGCCATTGCCTAGGACAGTTATTTTTCACCAAAAATGTAAGTCGCTGTGAACATGACCTGCAATTTCACAGGATTAAAGTTCTTCTTGTTGCCTGTGAAGCTCAAATGCATCGGTGCTATGTCAAGATAGCGTTGGGATTTAACCTGTAGGGGTGGGGTCTTGAGGCTCTAGATTTGTAGGCAAGTGTCATGTAATCTGTACAAAATTTTGATAGTTAACTTTGACTGCCATTGAGGTAAACTGTTTGGTTTGTCACTGTGTCAATCTCCTTGTCTTTAGGTCAAGCAGAACATATGTCTTGCTATTCTTGAACCATCCTAGAGACAAGCACAGCACTTTGCCCTCATTTCAAAAGACACTGCTTACAACTACACTAAATAGAACAGAACTCAGTTAAAATTTTGAGAAGTTATCTGAACATCGTAGCCATGAACACACACTGGCACAAGCTGCCTAGAGAGGTTGTGGAGGTGCCTTCTCCGGAGACTTTTGAAACCCCTCCTGTGCAACCTGCTGCAGGTGACCATGCTTTGGCAGGGGGTTTGGACTAGATGATCTCCAGAGGTGATTCTGTGATATTCACTTATGCGCTGCACATGTAATTAATGAGTGTGATTAATGACACAACACTATTATGTACTCGTCTAGATTAACCAAGAAACTGAGCCATGTAACCAAAATGAACCCTTTAGTCCAAAAATTCAGTGCTCCTCCCTAGTTTTTAGTAACCTTTTTCAGCATGCGTAGAAGATTGAGACTATTATAGGAAAACCTGTAAGGACAGCTGTCACCACACACTAAAGTGAGTCTTCCTCTTGCTTCCAAATTTACAGGAGGTGAGCAGAGTCAGTCACAGCAGTGTCTTTGGAAAGTAAATTAGTACTTAATAATGCTAGATATGTTAAACTTCTTGTCATTGTTAGTTTGCATCAAGCCACAGATCTTTATTTTCAGCAGAGCTTTACCAGCTGTGTTTATCACAGTCACAGAATGGTAAGGGTTGGAAGGGACTCCTGGAGATCAGCAAGTCCAACTCCCCTGCCAGAGCTGGGTTACCTACAGCAGGTTGCACAGGATCACGTCCAAGTGGGTTTTGAAAATCTCCAGGAGACTCCACAACCTCTCTGGGCAGCCTGTTCCAGTGCTCCATCAGTCTCACAGGAAAGAAGTTCTTCCTTCTGTTTAGGTGGAACTCCATGGGTTCCAGTTTGTGCCCATTGCCCCTTGTACTGTCACTGGGCACCACTGAAAAGAATCGGGCCTCTTGACCCTTGCCCTTTAGATGTTTTTCAGCAGTGAGAAGATCCCATCACCTTTTTAGTGTTCTACTAATGTTATACATAAGAAAAGTCCAAGCTGTCCTGGTGAGATGAACTTCAGGAGAAGGGAAGATTACAAAACAAGCTGCTTTATCAGTGGGAAGAGTACTTTGATTACCCTGTGCATGCTGTAGGATTTAATTACAGAGTAGAAACATTACAATTTCACCTCCTGCTTGAGGACATTATGTTGATTTATTAAAAGCTGCTTGATGGTAATGGTTGCATCTAATCATGTAAACCATCAGAAAATTCTGTTAAAAATATCAAACTAGAGTCATGCGAAATTTACTTTTAAAAATAAAGACTTATCAGTATTTCTTGACATTCCTCTGGATGTGGTTCACGTAACAAACAGAGCTGCCCACCAAACTCATTATCATTCCTAACTACAGCAGTGTGGTCCAGATCAGTAACACATTGACAGCGAAATGCAACGTCATGAAGTCCATCAGGACAAAGTTTCAAGGCAACTAGTTTATTTGTGCTACATTTAAAAGGAAAGGTTTCAGTTATCCATAAACAAAACTTTACAGGTGTGTCGCTGGTCACTCGCTAAAGGGCCATTTGATAAATTGACAGCTGTGCTTTGACTCCAGGTTAGCTGCTATAACAATGAGCCACGCTCCTGGATGTCTTTGCATCTATCTGTCCTTGTCCAGAGACATGAGTGGGAAAACCACAACACTTCTTTTTCCTACTTTTTTTTTTTTTTCCTCTTCACTTTACAAGGTTGTCTCTGCTTAAGCCCAGAATGGAGTTTTTATGGTACACACACATATATATGTTCTGAATTACACTGTCTTTACTTCCTATAAACCAGGCTTCAAAGTCCCAGCTCTCCTTCCATGCCCTGTGTTCAGAGACCTCCCATTCCTTGTTCTCCCTCCCGTTTCTGCAAGCAAGCCCACAGACCTGACCTGGTGCAGCAACCCGCATCGCTCCCATTTTACCCATTCTCAAAGATCTGGTCCTGGGTCCTTCTTGTCGTGTTTGCTTCATATCCCTTACACACATCGTTCGCTCCTCTTTGCTCTGTATCCTTTTCAGTGGAATCAGCAAAACCCACACTGACTTTTTCCTTCCAGCTGCATCTGTTTTTCCCTTACCTATCCCATCTGCCAGATATTTCATTAACTGCCAAATAAAGTTGCAAGTTGTTTTGGGCAAGGGCTCTGTTTTCTTACTGCAGATGTGCAGCATGTTCTGAGCTCAGAACATGCTATTCCCACCTCCTCTGGCACACACAGGGTGCAAGCAGGGAGAGAGTTCTTCAGGCTTGTGGAAATCCTCTTCCCTTGACCAGACCTGAGCGTTTGTGAGTGTTGGTAGTGGTTCTTTGCTAAGAAACACTCCCAGATCTTTCAGCTGCTCTCATGGGGCTGGCCCAGTTCCAGCCAGCCCAGATGACGGCATGAGCTCTGGGGTGACTGGATTCAGCCTCTTATCTCCATGGATACACAAACCCCATGGCCAGAACAGCAACAAATGGCCAGGGGAAAGAAAACACCTGGTAAGAAAACATTTTTCTCCTCTTAAATCCTGCTCTTCATCTTATTTCCACTGGATGGCCTAGATCGTTTAGTCCTTTCCTCTCCTCTGTTATTCCCAAATGTTTTGGCAGGATCCAAGGTAGCAACAGCAGTAGGGGAGTGCAGGATGGCACAGAGAGAGGTAGTGTCCCTGCCATGCAGCTCTGAAACTCTGTGCTTCATAGGCATGGATTTGGTTTTGCTGTAGATTTTCACCCTTCCTTTAAGCTGGCTCCTTCCCACATCCTATCTTTACCTCCAGTCAAAGCCCAGGAATTCATAAAACCTGATTATCATTGTGCTGCGTCATTCCAGGCCCACATCTGAACGAAAAAACTCACAGATCAGTTTTAGGCTGACTCTTCCTACATCTGGTAGCATGCCGTGTGATTACTGCCAAGGGGATACAGCACCCTTATTCTTACCTGAGGAACCAGACTTTTAAAACTGCACAACTAAAATAATCCAGCCAAACAGCATCAAAATTCCATGAACCATCTCTCCAGGCACCGAGTCTTTGTATCACAGGGCATTCAGTCATTATTAGCATTGTACAGATCTTTCATATTAGCCATAAATCACTAAGCACGGGATTAGGCTATTCAGTTATTGTTAACGAGCAATAGACTTTTACAATCTTATAAATCCATTAGAAGTTTGATGTAACCCTCCAGGTTTGACTTGCATTTATCATACCCGATCCGTAGGGGAAAATAAAGGCAGAGGAAAAGGACTGCTTAAGGAATTATTTACAGCTTTGCTACTTACAAGCTTTTTACCTAAAGATAATAGTACTTCTTGTAGCTACAGCAGCAGCACTTTGAGAAGGAATAATTAGCAAGGTGAGTAATCAGCAAATGAACAGGCTTGCATAAATACTAAGCCTACATTCTTTGCTTTTGCATCATGGAGCCTGACATCCTTCTCCTCAGTCCTCCTGACTTTGTAGCTGGGCAAAGCAGGCAAGGAGGGCTGCAGGATCCCATCGGTTGCAGGCTGCCTTGGTTTCAGGAGGTCCTGTCCCCCCTTCACTGGTTTTTCTGGACTTCCAGAGAAGCTCCACCAGCTTATGGCAGTAGCGTTGGCCACACAGCTGGCACGTATCATTTCAATACACTGAACGTCACCAAGAAAAGCGATCACAGGAAAATTTTGCGCGTCTTTGTGTAAAGGAGGGGCTCCATGGCTCAGGATGAGAGAGAGGCAGGGCTGGCCAAACCCATGTGGGATCCAGAGATGGGCAAAGACATACAATATGTGACAAAAGGCCTTGAGGAACTCTGTGAGAGCCCTGGAGAGAAGACTCTGCTGTATTCATGCCTAGAAGCAGAGCATCAGCTTATCTGAATACTGAAGAAAAAAGCAGAGGATGTAAGCAAAGGCTGCAGACACCTGGAGCAGCTCAAAATGGATCTGCAGAAACTGAGGATAGAGGATGCTGCGAAAATGAAAACCCAGAGCCCACAGATCAGCATTTGGAGAGGCGCTTCATGGATCTGGCCAGCAACCATTAAAGAATGAGATCCAGTTCAAGGACAAACAAAGGGAACAGTATATGCAGCTGTGGGAGGAGAACAAGTGCCTGCGCCAGGAGAACAAAAAGTGCTCTTCAGCCAGCCTGTGAGGGAGAAGGAAGCAAGTGTTCCAGCTTGCTGTCCGGGCCAGAAGACTCTCACAGCAGTTAGACTCCTTACAGAAGTGTGCTCATGAAAGTCGCAGGGCTCAGGAGCAAGAAGAGGAGCTGCTAGAAGCTCAGAGCCAGCAAGTGAGTACCTATGCCTGGGAGGTCGATTCACTAAAAAAGCAGCTGCAACACCTCCAGGAGAAGCAGCAACAAACTGCTGCACGGTAGAGCAGGCAGAAAGTCAGCAGGGCAGGCCAAGCTGGAGAGGGCGAGCGAGGAGAAAGAGCGAATGCTGAACTTGGCCATGGAGAGGGGCAAAGCTTACTGAACCAGATGTGGGTTTTAAGTACATAGTAGCTACCAACAGACTTGTCTTCTGAACTTCTCTGGACTCTCCCTGAACCCACATGGAGCCAGGTGAGAAGTACTGCTCTGCTACCTGCTGTGTGATGGACCACTCACAGCCTCTTTGATCCTGGCTCCCACAAGCATCTTTCCACACCAGTTTTATGACCCACATCCTCCTACTTTTCAGCCATCTTTTCCCCTGGACGTGCCCACCCTGCGTGCACATTTAGTTAATCTAAATGCCAGCATCTGCCCCATAACTGAGAGGAAGGGACATGGCAGGACTGAGTCTGCTGCTCCAATTTAGTCGAAACAGAGCGAGGAGTGCCCGCTTCCCCCTGGCAACTGCAGGAGAACATAACAGATCCCTCCACCACCTGAAGCTGGGCTGGGGACTCCTGCTCACCATGTGATGGAGCAGCCCACGGTCCAGCAAGAAAGACTCCATGGGAACCACTGCCTGCCCCGGGAGCCATAGAACCATTAAGACTAGAAAAGCCCGCTAATATGATCAGGTCTAACCACCACTCAACACTACCATGACCACTAAACAATGTCCTGAAGTACCGCGTCTACACTTTCTTTGAACCCCTCCAGGGATGGTGAATCCACCACCTCTCTGGGCAACCCGTTTGAATGCCTCATCACTCTTGCAGAAGAGAAATTCTTCCTAATAACCAGTCTAAACCTCCCCTGGTGCAACTTGAGCCCATTTCCTCTTGTCCTATCACTGGTATCCCGGGAGAAGAGACCAACAGCCATCTCACTCCAGCCTCCTTTCAG